GTCCTCGGCGGGGCCCACGCCTCCCACGCCATCCCGCCACGTGGGCGCCGGTCGGCAGCGTCAAAGGGCCTGGATGGTTGGGGAGCGGGAGGGGGCACAATTAGTCAAGAGGTATGGGTGGGAAAGGGGGCGGGAGAGCAAAGCGAAGGGAAAAAGAAGATGGAGGCGAAAAGGCCAGGAAAAGCGGCACTGCTGGAAGGCAAATGCTCCAGGGAGGCGGCGTGCGAGTGTACGTGTACATGACGCTGTCAGATAAACCCCTCTTCTGCTCAGCACCAGGCACGTTTTTGGCAGAAGTCTAAATGGCAAGTGAAGCCATCTCATGTATACGTTGTCTACGCTTAGCAAACGAAAAGCACTTGGTATTTCAAAACACTTCACGAAACTGAGCAGGAACCATGTGCCTTTTACAGATGGGAGAAAATAATGTGATGGAGGAACAGACCTCCCAAGTACACAGCACATTTTAGTCGCAGAAAGCTTTCAGGGTTTAAGTGGCAGCTTGGAATGTACACCTGACACATGCATCTATAAGCAACGTGTGTTCTCAATGCAGATTCTAATGCAAGTTAAAAAAAAAAAGAAGAAAATAGAAACTCAGAAAAATGAGTATTACTGTGCAGGAGCAAACAGTAGGCACCCACAAATCATTCACAATTTAGGTGACTAAGTTACTACTAAGGAAGCTGACTGTAGCTACACTTGATCATCATAAAAAAAACTTAGTTGGAAAAAGAGTAATTTTTAAAGGTCACAATATTAACTAAGACCTTCCTTTCTAATTTTGCATGTGAAGGCATAATAGTTCATAAATTTAAAATCTTTAAATTCCTAAAATAAAAACCACAGAAATGCCATGCTAATCTAAACCAGAGATGGAATAAAGTCCTTCAAAAACTACAAAGAGGAGCAGGGGAGAACAGTCACTACTTTAAGCAGCGTTTTGAAAAATATTTTTAGGCAGGAGCCATTAGCTAGAAAACTATAAGGCTTTAGGCATAAGCACCTCCAAAGCAGCAGGAATAAGTAATTTCCTGAAAAAGTGGAATTTTAAAATACTTCGAAAAATGGACAATGGTCTGTTAACTGTTGTCTGTGTTGTACAAGGATTCTTCAATGGTATATTTCAGGAGAGGCAAGCACTCTCTCAAAGTACTTAAGCAGGGAAATCCCTCAAACAAATGTATTCTTTCAGTTTAATGTAAATTCTCTACTTAATGATCCAAATCAAAACAAACTGGAAACCTTGTTGCTGTTCATCTAGAAGGGTCCTGGACTGCCCCCAGCTCAAATTCCACCTTCCCATGTTCCAAAAAGCCTGGCGGAACGCCCCAGGCCCTGGCAGAGCAGCCAAGCAGCCAGCGTGAGCTGGAGATCACAGGCGTTAAGGCAGGGAAGCAGAATAGCATGCAAGATTCACAACAGCAGTAAATGATTAATGCTCAGGGATAGTCCTCCTTTAGAAAAGAGAGAGGATTCATATGAAGGTTACTCATGGGTGAATTCAGAGTTTTGGTTTTTGTGAAATATGCTGAGGAAGTGACCTGTGAATACTGAAGGCTACAGTCCTCAACAGCTCATGCCACTTTTCCTATTTCCCCAATTTTAGCAGTTAAGTGAAAGCCACATCCACTAACAAAACCAAAACAAAACAGACTCCCCTACTTGTTCCATAATAAGGAAAAAAATAATTAAAGCTTTGTCTTCTGTCCTATCTTAGCACAGAAACAGCTTCTTGAGAAAACATTCTTGATGAGAATCACAAGGACACTGATTGTGTTTTAGGCTTTCCAGCCTTGCAGCTAATATTGCAAATGGTTTTCAGACCATTGGAGACCAGCACAATTTTCCTATGCTGACAATTTTACAGGAAGGGAATGAAGGAAAAAAAAAAAGAAAATCCTAAAATCCTTCCTATCTGGCAAAATACTTTGTACAATCTGGCACAATTGCTGTTGGCAGCTGCAGCATTACTATTTTAAATTAAAGGAAACATTGACATTAGGAAGGGATCTAAGCTGTGAGGTAGCCAATACAGGCATCTGCCAAGCAGACTACAAAAACTCACAAGGTCGGGACTTTACTTCTAAACCCCTTCAATCTAACCATCTACAAAATCCCCAGTCCAAAAGATTTTGATGTTTTTAACAATCCTTGGCAAACTCTCTCTAAAAGAAGACTATTTTTCTGACAGAAAGCAAAGATAATTCATGCAGAAACAGGCCAATTAAAGACAGTAGCAGTTGAAAAGCGATCTTATTAGCAGCATCAAGACACCAAGACTTGAAGGTGCAACAGCCAAGTCACAGCCGTGCAATAAATACACATGTGCTGGCAACGACGTTAACCCAACCCCTCTTCTCAGCTAGGAAACCAGAATGTAGCTCAGCTGCTGACTCTGTTCCAAACTGTTGTCTTCCTCCTACAGGTGAATTTGCCCTTCATCACAGGCAGCACTGTTTCCAGTGAACATCCTAAAACCTCTCTGTCAGAAGACAACTGCTTTCAATAATAAAGAGATGTCTCTCAGAAACGTAGCACATACACAGTACAAGCATTATGCCCTTGATTAAAACACATCAATTGCCAAGAAGCTTGTTTTCTTCATGACATACTGCTTTGGGTTACATGCAGGTTTACTTTATAGTCACTCCCACTCTTCTATAGAAAGGCTACACACTGCAGCAGCTGGCAGGTAAGCTTAGATTCCTTGACAATGTTAAGACAGACAGGCTCAAGTTCTTAATCCTAAACCAGGTGTACTGAGACCAAAACTGAAACAGATTTGCTACAGAGTCCTCTCTGCTTCTGAACAAAAGCAGTGGGATTTCAGTAAGCAACAGAAGCCTTGCAAACACTAGCAGGAGCACTAGCACAAATCAGATACCCAAAAAGAGCTGTTTGGAGCAAGAGCAAAACATGTCCACCAAAGAAAATACCAGTTTCTAGCGCGCATCTTGCAATTAGACCAAAAGAGTAAAAATAAAACCATAATGAGAATGCTGAAGAATAAAGAAACCACCACCTTTCACCCACCACCGCGGAAGAAATCAAGCGATCAACAGGATCTCACCACAGACAAGCACAGATTTCAGATACTAGACAAATCCAGGGCAAAAGAAAGAAAAACAGCATCGATCATGTGTTCCAGTTGAAACTTCAATAAAATACAACACATAAAGCAGAATTACCCTCCCCCTTATAATCCAAAATCCACAGTATTAAAAATATAATCAATGAGATTTACAAAATTAAATTACATTTGTCATTGCACTGTTAGAAACAGATATGACCTACTTTTAAAAAAGATACTGAAGCAAAGTAGGTTCATATACCAAACAATGGGAGGAGGATTTTTTTCTCTTGAGGGCTGCAACTGCTTAGGATAAGATCTTTTGTGCCACCCTACTCCACCACTGCTGCTCCTGCAGTCTCACATAAACCAGAATTACCTTTCTGGTATAAGCCTTATTGCCTCTGAATGCACAAGAAGCTGATAAAAGTTAAGACAACATGTGCACAAGTGCTGGGTTGATACATGTTAGTTTTGGCTTTGAAATAGCTTCGTCATCCAGAATTACCTTAAGAACAGATAAACATGTACATTTATCTTCAAACAAATCATCCGAATTTTGAGATGCATCAAATCCATAAAACTAGTACTCTTGTTAAATGAAATCGAAGCTCTTATCATCAGCTTCTGTCATTTTCCCCAAGCTCCCATTCTACCCAAGATCATGAGAAAAAAATCAGCCTGCCCATTTCAGAAGGTTCAAAAGATGATTCACAAGGATAGTACACCAAGCTAAGGATTAACAAGGAGTACTATGGCAAATAAGAAGGACCCAGCTCTTTTCAAGAGTTGAAAATTCTGTTCCTGATTTAATAATTTCTTCAGCCCCTGAAGAAATTTTCTTTTGGTTAGCAGCAACTAAGCCTGTTGTCCTCACTTCCCCATACTACATTCACAGCAACAAATCAGCTGCATCATCACTAACTTGACTGCCAACTTTTGTAAAAGATAGAAAGGCTTATTTAAGTGCAGATAAAGAAATGACCACTTGAATCATGCATAAGCAAGAAACAGTCATTTCCCAGCCGAGCAGAACGTACCACTTCTTGTCTTGCTGGCTGGCTCCTGGGCTCCTTGGGAGGTTCTCTATTTCCACTAAGACTGGGGCAGAAGGAACCACTGTTAGGACAGGTAGGTTTGGCTTCGCATTCCAGCTCTTTGGAGACAGAATACAAACAAGTTACTATACACAAATCAATGAAGTGATGGCATGTTACACACAGCAAACCAGATCACCACTCCTCCTCAAGTACAAAGCTAAAGCAAGGCTGTTGCCTTCCATTATGATTTAATGGTCATGGCAGTGTTGGGTAATGATTGGACTGGGATCTTGAAGGTCTTTTCCAGTCTTCAAGATTAGTTGTCCAGCACTGCATACCTATGCCCAGTCTTTTCCCATAGTGCACCCAGTACTGGGATCACAACAAATCCAAGGCTGCTCAGACATTCCTGTAAAAGCTATGGCCTGCTGTGTCCTTTTTCAGTTCAGCAATGCTTTCCTTCTGTAGGTAACTGCAATAACAACTGGCACCTTTGGCTTGCAGGCCTTTGGAGTGCCACTTGCAACAACTGCTCCTGAAAAAACCAAACACCACCTTTTGCACAGAAGGCAAAAGGCTGGGCAGAGAAGCAATTCATCAGTGGAGATTGAGCATTTTAATGTTAAAACAAACCACAAGCTTGTTTCCACCAACAGGTAACCCTTTCTGTTGCACTTGGCATCTGACATGCTCCAAAACAGAGAGACAGGGTCTTTCCAAACTCCAAGTCCTGTTTCTTGGTACTTGGAACGAGAGTTACTTGATGCTAACGCCCCTTTACAGTGAAGCAAGGTATTCTGTGTACCAAGTAGCAAAGGGACAGCTGTCTTAGATTTCCTTCTAAAACTCAGAAAACACTGAATTTTTACTGACAATGTATTCTTTAATTTGCAGGTGCATTCCTCTTTCAGAGAAAGCAATACTGTAACTAGGAACCTACATAACTGCTGATGAATTCTGCCCCCCTTTTTAAACTTTACTTTGCATATAGAATTAATGCTCTTTGAATAACAACAACCTTCACACAAAGTTGCTTTGTGTACCTATGAAAAACTCTGTCTATAGATAGCATGGTTTCTGTAGTACAGGGGCACAGAGGATATCTTTCTTATTCCAGCTAAACTAACCAGTTAGCTTGCTTGCAAATGAGTAGTCATTTCTTGGTATATGACTTAGTAGTTAACCATTTGTAACTGCCAGGCAGCCACCCATATGCATGCACTATATGCCCTAGAACAAGCTAAGGAAGAGGTGCTGAATGGCAGTGGGGAAGCCTGCAGTTATCCTGTCAAATCCGTTTTGACAGCTTGTGATGTGGAATTCAACACCTTCCCACTGACCTCCCTACCACGTATGTATTTGCCATGACATGTATGTCATTCGTCAACTACTGGATTTTAAGAACAAACAAATCCCCAAATCTGTTGAATTACATGAAAATTACCTTATGAAGAAGGAAAGAGGGAGCCCTTACCTGTGATCCATTAGTTTGGTTGACAACAGCACTGTTTGCAGTACTGAAAGACAAAAAGAATTTATATCAGAATCAGCTCAATGAACCACTTTTGCAGGCTGGCAGAACTGCAAGCATTTTCAGAAGGACACACAGAGTCTAACAAAGATCTTCCCAAAGTACTTAACTGTTCTCAAAAGAAAACTTTGAAACTTCTGTTGTATGTCAGCTGCCTCATTCTAGATAATTAAGGGTATCACATTATTTTTTAATTGTTCAGGCTGTAGTTTATCTGTAATTCCATCTGTTTTTTCCTCTTCCCTTCCTAAACCATTTCAGTTTAGACGTGTTCCTGATTCAGCAGTAGGGTGGTGCACTTTTAAGGCAAAATTGGTTAAACACCCAGCAAACTGTGACATTTTTTGAAGCCTCATCTACATGCTGTAGATAGTTTGTTCCATAACTAGGACTCTTCTGATGTGAAGTTTCTCATCATAAAGTTTATCAGAAAAATTCAGAAGTTTCTTCTGCATACAACCTCTAATGGACAGAATTTCTGCTTCAAAGTCTTAAAAGCAGACGTTCAAAGTTATGTGCACAGCAGCTCAGCACGGTATTAATAATAACTTTATATCATTAAATATTTAATATAGTTAATAAATTAAACAAGACCCATATGCCTAGTCCTGATGATTTTTGAATCTGCAAGAGACATTTCACATTTTGGAGAGAATTAAAAGCATTAACACCCTGCATAATAATTACATATTATGAATCTCATGCAAACTTTTTCCCAAACTTCTAACCTTCTAAAAAATGGTTCCAGTCTCCTAAGACCCATTAATCTTTTGATTTACAGTCTGGACAAGAGCTGTCCAACCCGGCAAGATGACAATTCAAATGGATTTCTGATCCACTTTAGCGATTCTTCAGAATTACTTTAGTTAAATACCATAATGTCAAGACCAAACAAGCTGCTCCTTGCCCATTTCCCAACTTCACACCTTCTCTATTGAGGGGATGTGGAGGTTCCCACAGAATAGTTCACATTTAACAGAAATATTAAGGAATGCCTTCTGGGTGACACATTCCCCTGTGCTGAGTTCACACAGAAGAGCGGAACGACATACATCTTTCATGATGCATTTCAATTAGCAGTGCTCAAGTGTAGAGTTTCAGAAATGGCACAGCTTGCTCCAGGAGGAACAGAACAGTGCCACACCTAGGTGCAGATCAGAAGGCTGCTGTCTTATCAGAAGGAGAAACTGCATATAAAGTTTCTCTTCTTACTCTCGGAATGACCTAAGCAGCATGAAACTGAGAGAAGGGCAGGACAACGCAACATGATGAGAGTACTAATTAATCACAGTCACATTTTGCATGTGGAGGATCTTTAAGCACTTTAGTAGCAGCCAGTTTTGAAGAGTACTTTCCCATTTTATAAAAAGACAAGACAACAGAGAAGGTCACAGAGAGACCTCCACTGAAGTAATTGCAGCCTTGTCCTCATGCTTCCCAGATTTCTCCTCTGCTTGTGCAAGAATCAACAATGCTGCTACAACAGAAAACTTAGGGCTGTGCTAAGCCTGCTGCTCTGAAATATTATGTTGACATTCCTTATCCAGCACCTGACTGTCATGATACTTAATGTCTATGAGTATCTACTTAAAAAAAATAATTTGGCTGCAATCAGTCACTTCCATGTTCTCAAGTTATTAGGGCAAAGGACAGAAACCAGAAGAGAGTGACTTAGTTTCTTTGCTACCAGGGAATTCTTTTTATCCTCATTTCCTCTCCTCCCTTAAGGAAGGGTACAAAAACTGTACAATTCAGATTTATATGGGTATTTTACATTGCAACAGCAAGAATAAAACCACGCATGCAGAAATAATCAGAAATAAAGAACCAAAAGGCCTCTTGCTCAATACTGATAATAAAAAAATCCTTATAAATATGTAAAAATAAATCATTAAGTATATAAAAATAAATGCAAGTATAGTACAGAATAGAAAATCATCAACATATTTAAAATATTTATTTTACTATGTTTTCCCTGTCTCTGACCTCACTTGAACATGCATTTCAGTCATGCAGCCAGAGCAGGCAGATTTCAGAAAGATGACTTCCCCACATGCCTTTACCCGATCTCTTTATATGGCAGCACACAGAACTACAGCTCATATCTAGCAAGAATCATAGCTAGCCAAAACCAGAACTCTTTGTCTGCTGGTAAGCAAGTCTGGCAAAATCTTCTATGTCACAGCAACACAGGAGCTTTGCTTTGAACAGAAGATTATGTAAAGCAAACAAACACAAAACCCACAGCAAAACCACAGTGAAGAGGTTAACACTCTCCACGTTTAACTAAATAGACAGATGCTCAAGTACAGGTGGCAAGCATAAAAGAAATGTAAATATCAGAATGCACCTTACCTTGTTTCTTCAAGTTTGGTAGCATGTGCTGCAAAAACATAAAGAGTAATTAGGATTTAATTTGTAATTAGGTTATCAGTAAAATATGAAGTATATTAAGTAGCCTAGCACTGCCTAAAAGTAGGCAACTAAAAATGTTGCATGTGTGCCATGTATAAAGTATGAAAAATAAAATCCTAAATTGGAAAAAAATAAAATCCGAAATCTGAAGGGTAAACCAAGGAGCTGGATTTAAGGAAGTATCTGAAAGTATACATCTTGACCTGTGGAAGAGCAGGAGTAAGAAACAAGGCATTATGGGCTGTCAGGTTGTGACAACAGAGTGTAACTCCTAAGAAAAATGAAAAAACCTCAATAACAAAGATGTCAAATTTGATCAATAAATTTCAAATATTATCATTAATACATTGCTGTTTCCTGGACCCAAGATTTTTATCTTTATACAGAGACCTATCATGCAATACTCACGGGTGTTTTACCTGCTAGGCCAGCTAGAATGACATGCTTTGGCCACAAGCTCTTTCTAATAAACATGTGTGGTCTCCCAAATAAGTCAAAGAAAATCTAATTTTGAAAATTCAAGGGAAGGACAAACAGCTACAGAAGATTTCCTACAGAGTCTTTAAAGGAGACGGTTACTTGATCATCACTGTGGATTATATTTCTCAGTATGGAAGGTCTGTTTTGCCAATGACCAGGCCCAACAAAAATGATAACACCAGCAGGGAGATGAATCAATATGCAGACTGTATTGTAGACAGAAATGTTACTATATGAATGACCGCCGGGGGTACAAACAGGTCAACAAGCTCGTACATGACTGACGCCACCCGCAACGATCCCACAAACGACATGACCCGGCCCACAACAGGTGGTACAAACAGTGAACTGAGGTTGCCCATAGTTGGCATGGGAAACAGCCAGACGAGCAAGTTAAACATGTAAGAAAAGGGTGCCCACATGGCAACTCTCACCCGATCGACCCGTGTTTGCAAAGGCCTAAACAGACCAGGGCCCAGCTCCAGGGAGAGTCAGGAGGTCTTCCCTGAACCAGGAAGCTCTGTGGAGTGCACTCCACAGACAGACACTCCTGACTCCCTGCAAGTGGTCCCAGCTTTTATCCCCAAGCAGACACCTGACCTTTGTCAACTCACTGCGGGCCCCCTGGGGTTCATTTCCCTTATGGCTCTCCCTGCAGGGCCGGCCGCACCCTGGGGGGAAGCTATAAGGCAAACTCACCTCCTCTTTATGAAGGGCTGTGGGAATCACCCATATGTCAACCTTAATTCAGGGGCTTGGGGTTCAAACCCCAGCATTTCAAGGTCTTTTACCTTTCATTTGCAATGTTCGTCTCGAATATCTTTTACTGGGCCTTCTTTCAAAGGATGCTGATCTCCTCGCTTTGTTGGTCTTGGTGGTTTGATATTCTGTCTTCCCACTAAATGTCAGGTGAAAGTGCAAAAGAATAAAACAAACCACTTATTTTTAACAACAGAACACAGACACTGCTCATTAAAACATCATGTCTATTTTTAAGTTCATAGCTTAATCATCTGATCTCAGTTCTATTAAAAAAATTCCAAACTTAACATCTCAGAAGGCCTTTCACAAGGAGTTTTACAATCATAATCTTCGCCTCATGTTCCCAGGAGGAAAGGCTGAAGCCATGACTCCTTAAACATCACACTGCTGAATAAGCACATCTGCGCTCTGCACATTTCTGTGGCCACAGCGCATGCGGTTTGGGAGAGGTTGGAAACTCTAGAAGAGAGTAAAGCTTAAGGTACGATGCCAGAGGCCATAGAGAAAGGTGACAATAGGAGTAAAAGCCAGCATCTAGACACTCTTGTTCCTGGGCAAATCTTTTTTTCCCATGCTTGGCCAGACTGCCCCCAAGACAGTAGTAGCCTCATGTTCTGCTGAGTCCTTGGTTCCACCGATCCTTTCTGAAGCAGACCAGATGGAATGGCTACAGTAGCTGGAAATGGAAGCCAAGTACATTCATGCTGCCTGGCGTCATGCCCCACCCATATGTTCTCACCAGCTCTGGTGGGGGAACTGACAGCATCCCATAGACTAGTCTGGGACCATAAGCCATCTGAAGCCTGTTACATGCACCCCTAGTGCCTAACATGGAACGGGCATTATCTTAGGCTCCTGAAGCCACACCATCACTCAGTCAGGAACTCTGGACTTGCAAAAAGACTTGCAATGTCCCAAACTGTGCAAGACATCCAACCACCCTCATTTGAAAAAGGGCAGGCTTTCAAGATATATAAAACACAATGTCTTATATGCTATGTAAGAAATATAAACCTTGAGAGATCTTCAGTCTCCTACTGCACAGACCAGAATCACCTAAAGACAGATCAGAAAATGCAGGGGAAAAATCCATTCGATTTAATAAAACAAATAATATGACTCACTCAGCTTGCAAGTTCCACTGCTCTGTATGTCCTGGGTGAATGAATCTCAAATTCTCTCCTGCTTCCACGCATGTTCCAAGAGAAGCAAGAAGTGAGAGAAGATGTGTGCAGAATGGCAGATGCCACTGACCTGTACCGGAAGCGGGATCCCAAGCGAATGAATCCCGACCGGCTCGAGCTCTTCTGGACGGGGCCTCGGAGCCGGAAGAAGGCGTGATGCTCCACGGCACACTTCCACAAGTGCTTGCAGGCTTTGGGATGATCCAGCCTGAAGACAAAAGTGTGCTCCTGCTCCTTTCCCTTAAAGCACACAAAGCGCACTGATGATTTACAGGGGCTTGAAAAAAATTTTGTTTTTATCAATACTGAAATGTACAATTAAAAAAAATATTTTAGGCAGAAAACTCAACCTTTTCAGAAGCTTTTATGAACTGCTCTGTTGTCTGAAGCTGGAAAGGGCTAGAGCCCATATAATTAAGAAGTCAAACCTTTGAATAAATACAAATTACAGACACCCTAATAATAGGAAGGTATTTCTCATCGAGGCCAACATCATCTCACTTCCAAATCTGATGTCCTCAAATTACCAATGCTCACATTTTTATAATCTCAGCTCTGAGCTATTTCTTCCCATGGGAACAATTCTGGCACCTGCCTAAGACATTCATTCCACTAAATGTGGTACGTGTCTTTTTTATTTTTTTTTAAAAACATTCTTGCAAACGGCACACTGTTTCCAAATTATCTTGCCTACACTAGTTTCACAAGGTATTCCCCTTTTAAAAATGAGGTGTGAAAAAAAGTAATTGAGCCTATTTATTTTATACTTAATTCCCTTATTCCAATCAAAAATCTTGCAAGGCATCAATGTTAATGCTCAAAATGTAAAGGAAGAGATCTGGAGTACATAAACTAGTACTATATAATCAAAACAGAGATATAACTAAACAGATAGTTATCTACCTGTTCATCATCTTCAACAACAACAAGAGTGAGTTTGTTTTTCTTGAAGTCAAGCCTTGTTATCTTTGGCCTGTAAGATGAGCAGAAGAAGCAGGTTACATCTAACTCTTAGCAACTCACTGAGAGGTACGTTGACAGTGGAGAAACAAGACACAGAAATCATTC